CTTGAAATTAAGCTCAATGACTGCTGCATGCAACACTAAAGAGTCTAACAATTACAACACCGCCACCCCGCCACCCCCTCCTGACACCCAACAGATGTTGCTCATAGATATGTGATAATTTCTGTTTCCCCCTTCCTCCGCCAGTTGGAGTTCTTTGAGGTGAGCTCCTTCTCGTTCATCAACAAGCTGGGAGCCAAGTCCAAGGAAGGCTTGATAGAGAAGTGCTCGGGCGGCCGCCGCATCAACATCCAGTGCTGTGGCTGTCTGCAGAACCTGCACTTTGCCGGAACCTGGAACAACAGGTGACTGTCTTTTTGTACTGAATCTCACTGTTTAAACCTTTAATTTCTTTTTTTTTTAAATACTTACTTTTTACTTTTTTACTTTTTCATCCTCTGTTGATGCAGTTTTTTTTATTGTAGGCCAGCTCCGCAGCTCTTTCTGTTGTGATCTTATATTTTCTTGGGGTTTCCTTGACACCCTCGATCCACCTTTTGGGTGGCCTTCCTCTTCCTTTATAGCCTGAGTGCTTGGTGTTGTAGGCTCTCTTTTTTTTCAGTCACATTGTTTAACGCTTGAATCTTTAATTTTAACAATATTTCTGTCTGTCAGAAGACTAGTTCTACTGCAGTTTTTGTTCTGAACCTTCTGTCCAGAGAACTAGTCCCCTCAGAACTATTTTGTTCAAAGTGCCTCTTTACTTAAGTACACTTGGGACAAAATAGTTCTGAGGTGACCAACTGTTGAAATATTATAAAATCAAATGAATTTAACTCTTGAGTCTCATTTTGAGCAGTTGTTTTTTTTAAATCTTAACTTCTGATTAAATAAAAAATTTAAAAATTGTTGAAAATGAGATTCGGTATTCAATTCAAAAGAATTTTTTTTAAAGTGCCATTTTGTTGATGCTGTTGCAGTTCTTTGTTTTATTTCTGTGGAATATTTGATATTGGATGTGATCGTATATCCAAGATATTAGATTATTGAAATTGTTTGATTTTTCACCATTGCATATAAGATTCATGCTTTCTGTTGGTCCTGTAGGAGGCAAATTCTCCTAATGTAAGGTCTGTCTCTGATAGTACTTAGCCAGGTGTGTGAAGAGTCTTGGAAACTTCCAAAATAGCCAAAGTTCTTGATTGCCTCATTGAGGATTTGAACTAGGGCCATCGGTACCATAGCTTAGCATGATATTATGCCAACCCCCAAGTTAGCTAACAATGGTGCTTAAATGTCACTAACTGTTTGATATCTTAAACAACAGCTAAAACCTCATGTTTAGGTCACCTGACTGAAAATAAATGTTATTTTAATTGAGAATATATTTGCAGACCATTTAAAAATAAAGAGATTTTACACTCAATAACCTCTGGATGTTTGTTTCAGGATCTGTGATAAAGAGATGATTTTATTATTGATAACATAACATCAGTACTTTTTCTCGCATGGCTTTTTATAATTTGGATGGTATTGTTCAGATCACTTTATTCATTTAGCAGATTGTAAATATAAATTCATGGGTCATAATTGGATGTTTGTTTCAGATGTGGTATTGTGAAGAGTAATTTTTTTTTGGTCGTATTTGAAAGTATGTCTCAGATATCAGAATGTATACACATAATTGTAAAATGTAGTTTCATTTTTCTATATTTTGCTCATATGGTTGATATAAAAGGTATTTTCATTGGTTACATTTGGGTCTTTCTTCGCAGATGGCTGATTGTAAAAGATAATTTCATTGGTTACATTCGGCCAGAAGACGGAGAGCTTAGCGACGTGATGCTCATGGATTCGGCGTTTAAAGTGAAATGTGGCCTTAGCAACACTGGGGCCAAACATGGTGTCCAGATAGAGAACATGAATAGGTTGGTGTGTGTATGTGTGTGTGTGTGTGTGTGTGTGTGTGTGTGTGTGTGTGTGTGTGTGTGTGTGTGTGTGTGTGTGCAGTGGGTGTCTGATGGATTTATGGTTTGTGTGTGTGTGTGTGTGTGTGTGTGTGTGTGTGTGTGTGTGTGTGTGTGTGCAGTGGGTGTCTGATGGATTTATGGTTTGTGTGTGTGTGTGTGTGTGTGTGTCTGTCTGTCTGTCTGTCTGTCTGTCTGTCTGTCTTTCTCTCTCTCTCTCACTCTTTTTCTCTCTCTCTCTCTTTTCTCTCTCTCTCTCTCTCTCTCTCTCTCTCTCTCTCTCTCTCTCTCTCTGTGGTAGATATTTGGTTGGGGAGGGAATTGTGGCCTTTTGCTAGCTTTTTATCCAATACTATGAACTGATATCGTCTGATTTTCACAGATTGTTGTATGGGCACATAGTGTTATCTCCTAAAGTCTCTTACAGAGATGGATAGTTCTGACTCAAGTTTTTGGTTGATATTGGGGTTGCTCTGGTGTGGTTTGCTCCTTCTTTGCTATCAAATATCTGTTATTTTAGTAGAGGTTTTATGGTGCTCGCAACTGCATTAGGTCATATGAGCGCCAAGGTGTGGATGTCAACAGAGAAGTCCTTACAGGGAATCAGACTTACTCTGCTCACCTCTCTAGCTTCAACAGCACTAAGTCTGCTTCGACTATCAAGGCACACCGGAAATAGCAGTCACAAGAGTGTGACAAACATACAAAAAAAGTAGAGGAAAATGACGATAGTAAGGATTAGGAAAGAAAAAGCAGCAGTTCCCTGTTGTAGTTCAGGCACAATTATGAGCATAACATTGTTACTAAGCCCATTTACAGTTCTACTGTGTATTAGAACGATAAATGTCCCCCCTTTGGGAATGGCCTAAAGACACTTCAGTCAGTGGCACCGCCCTGGGGGTTCTATCAAACATCTATCGTCTTTATCTCCCCTCCTTTTTGTGTTTGTTACTCCCTTGTAACACCTGCAATTTTCGGCACTTGTATGACCTTATTGTGTTGCAAGTGCTGTAAAACTCTTACTAAAACTAAACTGACTCAAGTTTTGTTCTGTCTGTTAAAAAGCTAGTTCTAATGCAGGTTTTGTTCTGAACCTTCTGTCCAGAAAACTGTTGATCAAGTGCTGGACAAGTCGCAAAGGAAAAGAGTGGGCGGAGATGATCAGCTCTGTGGCCCAGAATCAGGCATTGGAGTACACCCAAAGGAACAGGTTCGAGTCCTATGCCCCAACACGAGAAAAGGAGTTTGCGAGATGGTGAATATCGTGTGTCTTTGCTTATTTGTTTTCGTGCCAATTTGTGGCTCTGTTTGTTTGTACAAGTTTATATGGATATATGCCTTTGTGGCTGGGGGAATGGGTTGAGGTGCTTTAGAGTTCACATGTTTACCTTTATTTTTCAAATTTTCAAAATTTGATTTGTGTCAATTATGATTTTAAATAGCTATTCAATTTCAGTTTGAAATGTATTTGTGATTTTGATTTTTTTTTTTTTTTTTTTTTTTTTGGGGGGGGGGGGGGGGAAGGCAAAGGATGAGTCATTACTATTTTGGGGTTTGGTTTTAGTAAAAAGAGTTTGCTTACATAGTGTGAGAAGAGATGTTATCATTTAGATTTAACAGAGTAAACACATGGTGCGCTTCATAATGTAGGGATAGAAACGAGAGAACCAATTTGCCATTGGTCTCATAAGGATTATTGAATTCTGCTAAAGTACTATGTCCAAACATTGGTTTCACTGTTTCAAATATATCATTTGGTAAACATGAAAAATTGACAGTGGTCATACTGTGTCTGAAATCTGTTCATGGCTATATGTATTCATGTCATTTGTGGAATGTGCACAGGTGGTTTTTAGGCATTCACGATGTGGTTTTCTCCTTCTGTTTCTGTTCAGTGTTACTTTTCACCTCCTATGGTCACTAGTGAAATAGAGCTGTTATGAAAGTTACCACCAGTGGGTGGTAAGCAGGTTCTCTGATGGGGGCTCTCATGGCTTAGAAGTTAAGGTGTTTGTCTCTCATTCAATAGGTCCCGGGTTCAAATCCGGTTAGCGACAGAAATTTTTCTTCTGAAAAGTTGTCTCCTTTCCCTTTATTTCATGCTCTTGCAATGTTTTGTGGTCTGGTTTTGCCTTCACTTTCTGTCCTCACCCCTCTCACCTCCTCTGGGCTCCTGACTCTTTCTGCAGCCTTTTTACTGCTACTCCTTGGCTCCTTCTTACTGCTGTCTTTCAGCCACACTCCTGATCTTATGTAGGAAAGATCTACACCTAGCTTTCTCGGACAAGGGCGAAAAATCTCGTAGGTCCACGTGCATGTTGCGCACCTTTAAGATCCCTTGATGGTCCTAAACCGATAAGAGTAGGCTTCGGCCTCCTCCAGGGCAAAATTCAAAATTTCCTTCCAACTGAAAATGTTTAATATGTCCCGCACGCTCATATGACCATATGGAGTTGCGAACGCCGTAAAACACTTACTGAAAAATAAGGTTCTATTGTGTGGTTTACTCCTTTTTTCCTATCAAACTTCTATCGTCCTTATCTCTCCTCCTGGTTTTTTTAATGTGTATTATTGTCTAGTAACACCTTTAATCTTTGACAATTTTTTGGCCTAATTGTCTTCCCAGTGCCATAAAACTCTTACTAAAAGTTGTTATGCTAATGCAGGTGGTTAGAGGGTGCCACTGGTAGTTCATGCTTTTTTACTTTCCCTTTTCACTTTATTTTTTGTGCCTGTCTTGTTTTTTCCAAGCGCTAAATAATGGTAACTGTGTCGATGTGCTTTTTTTAACTCGAGCAAGTCAACCATTCTTACTCAGTCGAGCATGTGGTTGGAGGTAGATCTTACTTTTTTTCTTGCCCTGTGCTGCTTTTTGTCCGTCAGTCGTTTCTCTTCCCCTGTACTAAATTACCGTTATAATGTCGATGTGCTGCTCATTACTCAAGCAAACATCCTTACTTAGTCGAGTATGAATTTCAAGGCGAAATTCCAACTGCCACTTTTAAGTTACTATAGATCAACCTCAGAAAAGTACAGCAACTACATAGGATGTGCCTACTTGTTAATATGAGGCAAAATTGAAAGCTTTGTTGTGATGTCACACAGCGTCAAAATATCGATGAGGCAATCAGTTTGTGTGGCTCTTTGAAACTGGATGACGTCACAGCATGGGAATGGTGTGTTTTGTTTTTGAAAAATATGTAATTACGTTTACGGACCTTAAGCTTTTTGTCTTTCTATATTATGTCGTTACAGGTTTGTCGACGGCCGGTCGTACTTTGAAGCTGTGGCAGACGCACTGGAGAAAGCCAGGGAAGAGATCTACATCACAGACTGGTGGTGAGTGGTCTGCCTCATGTTTGTTGCTTTGTTTGTTATGTGGCCTTTGTGACCTGGACGAAGCATGCCGTTAGTCATTATTTATTCTTACATAGCGAGCAAGCCGAGATGCAGCTGTGACATACAGAGTTTGTCATGCCTTGCGAATGGCAAGGACCACGATGACAAGCTTGTGTTTTTCTGTATGTTTGTACATGGCTGCATGGGGGAGTCCTACCTACTTTTGTACTCTCCTTCTATTTTTTTTTAGTCTGTTAGTCTTGCTTTTACCTGTTACTGAATTTCCCCTATTATGTTCATATGCTTGTCTTAACTCATATCCCCCCCCCCCCCCCCAAAAAAAAATAAATAAATAAATAAAAAGATAAATAAACAATTAAATAAATAATTTTAGAAAGTAATAAATAAATAAATGAATGAGTAAATGAATAAATAAATAAATAAATACATAGTTGTCTTCGGTGATCACTGTGTCACGGACATTCTGAGTGCATCGAGCAAAGATGCTTGGTGTACTGTACATTCCTGTCACAGTCAAATTGTCTTCCTAAAACCAGAGCTCAGGAAAAAATTCAAATCAGTGAATGTCAACATCAGGTTAGCTGTAATTGCTGTCAAATTCCTCAGAGATCATGTTTCGACACAGCTTGCGTGGACTTTATGTGTCTATAATAAAATTACATTGTCACTAGTTGCTGAATCCGATTTGTTTGAGTTTGAATGCTAATGAAAAAAAGTCAGCATAGCTAATCAAAAAGCCCCATGTGTTTAACCCTATCCATATGCCCTGGGGTCATTTTGTACCCCCGGGGTTGTATTCTTCACATTTTAGAATACTTGTAGTACGAAGATCTCTTTGAAACTTTCAGTATTTCTCAAAAAATCATTTTGACAGACTGCTAGGCTATGCAAAGCGTACGGATCGGATTAACAAGTAAATTTCCTCTTTGGAAGTGGTGGCACAGAGTTCCCCACATCGTATGGATACAATAGTAAAACACGTCGTATGGATAGGGTTAACATGTGAGTTATGGAAGTTGAGTGGGGACAAACTAACTCCCGCCGAAGTTGCCAAGTATTCTAGCAGTGTTTTTTTGGCACTGTCCCTCGTTCAGTGAACAATAGTTCACTCTTCTCCTTGTCTGTCTGTCTGTCTGTCTGTCTGTCTGTCTGTCTGTCTGTCTGTCTGTCTGTCTGTCTGTCTTTCTGTTTGTCTGTCTGTCTGTCTGTCTGTCTGTCTGTCTGTTATTTAATGGAATTACAATATTCTTCTTCAATGAGTGATTGATGGGTGCTCTGACATGGTTTGCTCCTTCTTTCCCTTCAAGCATTCATTGTCCTAATCTCTCCGCCTTCTTTTGTGTTTGTTACCTACTTGTAACATCTCTAATCTTCCACACTTATAATATGACCTAATTATGTTGAAGTGCCGTTAAACTCTTACAAAAACAGAGGCTTTTTTTCTGAATCTTTTTTTTCATTTGTGATCTTGCTAGAAAATTTATCCATCTGCTTGTAGGTTGAGCCCTGAAATCTACATGAAGAGACCCCCCCACCCCGGCTGCGCTACTGATTGAAGTGTCTTTAGGCCATCCCAGAGGCTGGGATATTATTATTAACATGTTCTTAGGCACAGTAGAATTGTAAATGGGCTGATTTATCAATGTCGTGCTCAAACTGTTCCGGAACAACATAGGGGGAACTGCTACTTTTTCTTTCCTCATCCTTACTATCGTCATTTTCCCTTTACTTCTTTTGTATGTTTCTTACTCTCTTGTGAACTGCTGTTTCCGGGGTGCCTTGCTAGTCGAAGCAGACTTTGTGCAGTTGAAGCTAGAGAGGTGAGCAGAGTAAGCCTGATTCCCCATTTGGACTTCTCTGTTGACATCCACCCCTTGGCGCTCATATGATCTTATGCAGTTGCGAGCGACGTAAAACCTTACTAAAAGAAGAAACAAAAAACTTGTACAAAAACAGAACCTTTTTTTTCAGAATCTTTTTTCATATGTGATCTAGCTAGAATTTGTCTATATTTTGTAGGTTGAGTCCTGAAATCTACCTGAAGAGACCAATTGTTGACGGGGACAAATGGAGGCTGGATGTCATTCTCAAAAGGAAAGCTGTAAGATGTCAATTTATTATTATTTTTTGTCCCTTGCCCATTTCTATGTTGTTGACGTCATCTGATTAGTAGAAAAATGTGCGTATGATAGTGTTCTATAGTGTATTACGTACATAATTGTTATAACTTATGACT